TCTTTAAAGTACTTCACTAGTCCACTCACAATAGTACGGGGCTCTGGGAAAGGGGCGGAGTCAAAATAGAATTAACCACACCCACTTACCTTTATCACCAACATCAATCTTCTCAACGTATAAAGTATCAGCATCTGGATGCTATAAGAACATGTACGTAATGAAGTATATGTATCAGGGAATGTATTGAAAATGGGGAATGCTCTCCTTTTCAATTTTGGTGAGCATAGTACAGGGACTTTTTTCCGATTTTTAAGCAACTTTAAAAATTCATAAAAAAATCCAAACTTGATCGGAATTAGCTCAAACTTTCTACATAACATAAGTACATGTATATGTATCAGGAAATGTAATAAAAATCAAGAAATCTCTCCTTTTCAATTTTGGTCAAATTCAGTAAAAATCCTGTACTATTAGTAACGCGGTAGCGTTACTAAGTAGGATTCACCCCCAAACAAAATGGCTGCCACGACTTTTGCAGCCTTGCTATATAGTACAGGGACTTATGTCCAATTTTAGAGCAACTTTAAAAATTCATAAAAAATCCAAACTTGATCAGAATCAGCTCAAACTTTCTATACAACATAAGAACATGTATATGCATCAGGAAATGTAATAAAAATCAACACAAAATTTGGCCTGTGACCGTGTACTATAGTACAGGGATTTTGGCCTAATTTTGAAGCAACTTTAAAAATTTGAAAAAATCTAAATTTGATCGGAATCAACTAAAACTTTCTACACAACATTTCTACATTGTACATGTACATGCATTCATTAGTGTAAGTATTATAATACAGTAAACGTACATTAGCTGTTGATCAACACTAGCTACCAGTACAATACTGGACCATTGGGAACTGGAGTATCTCCATATGATAGAAGTACCATCACAAGAACCAGTAGCAAAACAACTAGAGGAGAAAAAGAACTATCTAAAATATAAAATATAACACCACTAAAATGTTTATCTACTGTATAAATGGAATATATTACATTAAAAATACAGTACATGTACACCCACCCACACATACCATTGTCCATTGTTGTTGAATTGTATTGTTAATATCCTGTCAGTGTGACCAGTGAGTTCATTCACTAGTAATGGAGGATCACTCATCTCATACACACGTACTATCTTATCAGTACCCCCTGTAACATAGAATTTACCCCCTGGGGTAGGGGTCCAGTAATATTGATAGTAGGGGGTATGGGACTTACCAGGACTAAAAGCTGAACAGAGAGTTTGATCACTGACCCTGTTCTTCTCCATAAATTTAACTGG